CAGGAAAAGGCAATAATTTTTCTTTTAAATCCTAGACATGTTTCTCATGTATATTTTTAATGAATTTCTTGGGCAATTCTCTCTATAATTGCCTTGGTTTTATTAGTCAGAAAGCCATCATGAATTATACCTTTGAAACTTTTATGATTAACAAGGTATCAGCTGCTTTCTGCCCATAAAAGTTTTACCTTCAGCTGAAAATGATTCCTAGGTTTATTTTACAAAAGAAAAAAAAAGGATCACAAGGAAGTGCAGAAACACCCTGAGTACTCAAATGCCAAAGGCAAACTCGGCATTTAGGAGTTCATTGGGTGAGATGACAGGGCACTATATCTGCCTGCTACAGAGTCTGGAACATGAGTTCCATTTGCCTGTACTCTTATTGACGGGTACTTCTTGCTGTAACTTTATATCTGGCCTTCCATGTTTTTGCACCTGCAATTCTCCTGGTAATATGGGTTGCATCACTTTCTGGGTCTATGCACCATGTAAACCTGGTAGGACAATGAGGATTTTGCCCAATACAAGCAACGATATGGATTAGTGAATAGAATATAGAGAGAGACATGATGCTGACTCTTGTAGCTGCGACACAAAGAGGATGAAAAAGGTTAGGGAAGAACACTGAGTGCTCGAAATATATCTGTTGACTAAAATTTTAAATGATTTATTTTCCAGGGTTGCTACTTTTGCTAGGAGGATGATGAGTTAGCAGTGGCTCACTGCTGTCCTTCCTCACCACTGATCAGCTTGGAACCCAATGCCCTGGAGAACAGGTTATGCCAGGGGAATAACCGGTAGTTGCAGGACCCGTAAAGACTTTTCCTAGGGACAGGCACCTCCTCTGCATCCACGCCAGCCCTCGATGTCTTGGCCTGTGTCTAGTGTTGTGGAGCTTTCAATAACAACCGTGAGGGGACTAACATTGCTCTTCTGTTTCATCCTGACTGCTCAAAGGAGCTAAACTAGTCAAAACTAGTCAAATCCCTTGGATAGAATGGGGCTGGAATTAGTGGTGCTGGTCTATGCAGCAGCCTCTCCATGCGAGGGAAGCCCCTGGATATGCGAAGCGCTGCTTCACATTGCATCTAGTCCAGGATTCGCAGTTTTGAGAGCCTTTCCCCTGCCATTAGCAAATACTGTGCATGAGCTAGAAGAAGGTTTCTGCAGGGCTTTCAACCATGAAACCCTCTGCTTTTCCTCAGCCCTTCTCTGTTGTGCCATTAATGCAATCTAATGGCCTCTTGAATCTTTATCTTCTGCTCTTTATCAGCAGAATTTCTTCTCAGGTCAGAACATGAAGTTCTGTACTGGTGCTCTCAGGAGGGAGTGCAGCACATGGGAGGATTAAGAAGATGAGCCAGCCCCTATCTCTGTCTTGGTCCAAGCAAGAGCTGAGATGGACTGTGTGTGTTTGTGACCTGGGCTTTTTTTTTCTCAGATCCTCCTGCTGCAAGTGGAAACCAGGCAAAGGTGACTCTTCTCTCCCTCACTGAAAAGTTCCTGATAGCACAACAGTTTCCATACAGGTCTTACGGATTTGGAAGGAAAATATGTTCTCCAAGTATCTCACAAGCAATAAGGAATGAACACTTGCCCTGACTTTTTCCACATTGCATTTCTATGTAGTTATTTCAATTTAATAAATAGGAGCCTAATGTTCACGAAATACCTGCCAGGGAGTATGTCAACAGCATGTCATGTAAGCACAGAAAACATGGCTAGTTTTCTACTCTATTCCTGCTATTACCCGGTCTCTAACTAATTTCCCACAGATTGCTTCATTGCTGTGCATGGTGGTCTAACATCCAGCTTTTAGCTGAATAAGTGAGAATCTCATTTGCTCCAAGCTCCAGCAATACAGGGGCACACTGTGTCTCAGGTGGCCTGAACCACCCTTCGAAAATACTGACACTTCCATTAATGCTAATTGGACACTAGGTAATTAAAGCCTACGCTAAGTGTCCAAAATTGCGCAGACACACACCAATGATATAATTGCATGCTGTCATTTATACAAGCTGCTTTGTTTGCAGTGCACCCTCACGCGTACCTGGAAACAGGGAGAATACATTCAGGACCATTTGTGAGAGTTTTCACATGTCAAGTCACAAAGTGATACATGCTGCTGGTTTTCTGAATGCAGGATTCATCTGTGCTGGAATTTCCTAAAAAGTTATTTATGGGTATGCAAGCATGGTTACCATGTTGTTCTGCTTCTTGCCTGATTGCTTTCGGTGGGCATGAAGCCTCAAGAATACTAAAGAAGTGAGAGATTCGCAGTCTGACATGTTTGCAGTGTGCTTGGTGGGCTGATAACCTCCATGTCATCCTCTCTGCTCTGGGATATATTTTCACATATGGAACTGGAAATATGAGAGTATTGATCAAATAGACCATTCAGCTGGGTCCTGAAATTGTGTTAACAACACATCCAGAGACTTTCTTCAACCAGAAAAGAGCTAAGGCTGCTTCTTCATCCCATGGAAAACAATGACAAAAGTCTGTGGATTTAAATTTAACACCTTACTAAAAGGAAGAAGTCATGGGAGATTTGCTGACTTTCTAACTATATGAGACTCACATGTCTGATTTTAAAATTCATGCACATAGAAAGCATGGATACATAAAATGGGAGAACTTCTATCAAAGAAACAAGAGATGAGCAAACCATGCTGTAAACATAATTCACCACTAGTACCTGTGGAACAGGGCCACCCTTGGAAAAGAACAAGCCAGTGTTTTTATAATATTTTAGACTGAAAATGACAATTAACTGAAAACAAAGCTCAAGTTTGAGATTCAGAGATTTCCGTGTTGATTTTAAAACAATTCCATTTGATTACAAAAAAAAAAAAATCCCAGTTTGTTGATTTTTTTTCTGTTTAAAATGATTTCTCATTCATAAGGATATGTTTAAGTCAAAATTAAAATGAACTTTTCTGGAGATAGCTAAATGATTTTTTTTTCTGGAGTTACAGTCAAAGGAAATGGAGGATATTTTCACTTTATTTCTGAATGCTCAGGGGAAAAATTCTTGGAAGCTTAAAAACTGCATGATGGAAAATAGTATAGCAGTTATATGCTGGAACCAATATTGTACAGTGACAGACTGAAGCTGTACTTTATTGATAGTATATGCATTTAAAATAATAAAAATACCAGTCATACAAAGTTTCAAAATAATTGGAGATTAAGCTACTGAACAGCTTACCCATTTTGGTATGCTGTTACTGTCCCAAAGTGGCAGAATTGCTGAGAGACATGACACAGTGCTATCATCATTTGTTTGTGGTAAATCTGCACTTTCCAGGTCCTGTAAAGTGCTATGCTCCTAAATCCCCTTTATTTAAATATAAAGCTTTCAAGACTTTCAATTATTTTTAGGGGTAAAGGTAAATAAAGAAGAAAATATTTTCTATGTATCAAATGCTGTTGAAGGGGAAGAGAAATTGTGATTATTCCTTATTTTACATAGATCTGAAGCCTGAAATGTTGATTCACTGTCTTGTGCTGTTGCCTGTTACATGCAAAATTAATATATAAATAAAATGTGATCATCCATGTCAAATGCTATAAAGGCATCTGTATAGGTCATGGTACATGAGTATGCCTACTGAAACAACAATATGTAGGAGGAAACCAAAGAACATGAGTGTATCATGCTGTTGGGCCAGGCATGTTGCTGCAGCTGCATGGCATGCCACACAAAAAGGGGTTTTGAAGGGTGTCAACTTCCAGGACTTCTCACTAAGAGTATTATTTCTCTTTATGACTGTGTCTATATTGCCAGGATATGCCCAAGCTTCTGGGTCTTCCCAAACCACAATCTTTAGGGATAGGTAAGATGCAGGAAGTGACCAGGTCCATATTTCCCTACTTGATTTCCATGGAAAATGAATTCAGGTGTGTGGGCAGGCCAGAAGGAAGCCCTGGTGTGCAAATCAGCTAGTGGGATATGGGGAGACCACGCTTTTGGGGGGCACAGCAGCTCTCCATGGGAGGCATGTGTATGGTACCCAAGAGAGTCTGTTCCCACTGAGAGTGAGAGAAGCACTATGGATCTGCTCCACAGAATCCAGAGATGGGTCTGAATCAAAGGGTGAGAAGATCACCAAAGTGAGAAGCAGTTCAACCACTAACATGACATTTTCATGTTATTTACAGCATTATTAATATATTGTGATTGGGGGACCCTTGGGGCTGAGTGTGTTGTGTTTCTCTCAGAGCCACTTCTCATACAAAGTACAGATTGTCGCTCTCTTCCTAACAACTTGGTCAGAAGGGAATACTAGTTTAATAATTCAGAGAATTGCAAGTTCAAAGTGCTTTAGAAGAAAGTTAGGCATGTAAAAGCAAGAAACTTTTATTGTCTACATCTTACTTTTTTCCTCCTCAGACCTATTTAGGCTTCAGACTTATTTATCCTTACTATGAGATGACATTGATAACAGACTAAATTCAACCATATATGATGGCCGAAATAAAAGAAGACCTACGCTGTGCTGCCAGTCACCATGAGGTTTCCTTATATTATAACCAATTCACCCACTGTGTCTCTAAAGCTGTGTGTATTTTATGTAGATTTTTATATTTTGTCATCAAGCTTAAAGATCCTGGAGATCTTTATGTATTTAAATGTTCTAAAATACTATATACTGATTTGGTCCTATCGCAGAAACTACTGCTTTGCTATGCGAGGACATTGGTCATTGAGCAGGGTCCAACTGTATGTAAATTCTTGTAGCAAAATGAGGAAGAAAAGGCCAATTCTCGGCATTAGCATATTCTTAGGTTCCCTGTCCCAGCTCCTCTTCTTTCTCCTTTTCTGTGGCAGGACTGGCCTTTTCTGGGTCCTGGCCTGAGTTGAACTCTGACATATTAAAACTGATATTAGAGACTACTGGGAATTCAGCTGTGTCTTACTGCAAGCACTGAATTACAGCACATTAACTACAGCAACATTCTGAATGAACCAAAAGAGAGATGTAAGTTATTACCTGTAAAGTTTACTTTCAGAAGGTAATCTTTGTACAGCTTCTTGCCATCCATATGCTTCATGGCATCACAAAGTTTGGTAGTGTTTGGACACAGAGTCCGCTGCATTTTGTGCAAGGCATGGGCCATTGCATACACAGCATTCACAACAAACATAATCTTGGATTCTTGCTCATAGTTGGAACTGTTGATAGTGAAGTGCTTGTCACAAGTTTTTCTATGTGGCTTTCTGTTCTGGAGATTACACTGGAATTTTTGCTCCCAGAAATCCTTGAACCAAGGGTTGCGCCTGTTATTGTAAGGGCTGAGGCTTTGGAAATACCTGTCAAACTCTTTAACTGGATGGGAAGCAAGTTCTAAGGTTATTGCCCCAGAGGCTATATGCTCATTGCCTTTGACAATGCTCTCTTGAGCTCCCCATCCATCACTGGCAATCCAGGTAAAGGAAACGTTGAAGCGGTTGGCAGCTGCAATGAGCTCCCGAGAGTCATCACTGCGCATGAAGAGCACCACCACTCTGGCATTGGGTTTCTGGAGCAGCTCTCTGATCACACCATCATAGGACTTTCTGATATTGGACCTCCCCACTTTCTCGGAAGTGGCAATGCAGATGTTCCGGAGTCGAGCCTCCTGCTCAAAGGCTTCGATCCCAGTCTCTCCGTAGTCTCCTTCTGAAGCAACTGTCGATACATAAGTCCAGTTGAAGAACCGTAAGATTTCAGCCATGGCTTTTGCCTGGTAGAAGTCAGGGGGCACTGTCCTTGCAAAATAGTCATAGCGGGATTTGTCACTCAGCTTGGCACTGGTGGAGGCATAACTTATCTGGGGGATCTGGAAGAGTCTGAGTAAATTTGCCACCTAGAAGGAAGAGGGACAACACAGACTTTTAAAGCAATGATATTTATAAAACTGAATAGAAAACTCCAAAGAAAGGCACAAATAATGGTTTTTAATACAGGGTGTTTTGAAAGTCACAGATTAAGATAGATGATATTGATAATACACTCTGGTGAGGGGAGTGCACTGTGAATGCGTAGAATAGGTGTTCTACTGCCCAGTTAATTTTCAAAGCCCTTCTAACTGTAATGGACCTTTAATTTCAATGGAGTTTAAAAACTTTGTTTAAATCAACAGATAATCTGACTTAGGTACCCAATATACCTCACTTGCAGCCTGGGTTCCTTATTAAGGTTAGAAGACTTGCATGCCTTTCCTATTCATAATGAGATTTATCTTTTCCAAAACTCAATGCATTTGATAAATGAATTCATGAAAATAAACCCATATACAAATATCTCTATTATGCAAATATCTTAAATATACATGTACAGGCTTCCTTTTTCACAGAAAATTCTGATTCCATTTGTTCAAATACTGAATCCCATCCTTCTTACTTTTTGCTCTTTTAACTATTTTCTGAGCTATTCTGACTGCAGTCTTCCTGAGATGACAAATGGGTTGCATGTTAGTATGCCTCTAGCACTGTTAGACCATGTTGACCTACAACTTTTCACAAATAATAAACAATTTTAGTAATTTCTCATTGCCCTTCTAGTGTGATTTATACTGTCCAAAGTCCTGTTTTTTAACATATGTTGCCATATTCCTTGCTTAAATATACTCAGATTTTCTCTGATAAGCTTATGCTGTTTGTTTTAAGGTAGTGTAGCTTTTGATTATGTCTGGCAAAAAAAAATGAAGGAAAGTCATGGATTTCCTCCCTCCCTCCCTCCCTCCCTCCCCCTTCCTTCCTTCCTTCCTTCCTTCCTTCCTTCCTTCCCTCTTTCCTTCCCTCCGATCCTCCCTCCCTTCCTCTTCCCCTCCCTCTCCTCCTCCCTCCCTCCCTTCCTTCTTTCCTTCCTTGTTTCTTTTTTTATTTCGTGACAGAAAGGAAACTTTGGAGGACTTCTCTTGGTGAATGGAAGTTGTCTCCCACAAGCCAAATTTAAAGGCAGTCTTAGAATATATAGCCTGACAAAAACATTTCAAAAGTAATAATATATTTGAGATTCCCAAGAGAAACTTATTAAAAATTGCATAATCAATTATTGTTTTCTCATTTTCCCAAAATTCTTACCACAGGATACATCTGTGAGAATTCAAAAGCAAATGATGTTTGCTGAAAATGTACTGGAACAGGGCAAATTAAAAAGGCCCAGATGTCAGTGGCAAACTGGTATAAATAGCCAAAAGAATTTTATGACTTTCTGGCAAAAACATCTCTTGGGATTTTATAGATTTGGGTTCTGTCTTTTATTTAATGCAGGCGCAGGCACACGACCAGTCAACCTTCTTCTGTGGCTCAGTCTCCCACATGTAAATTTGTGACATCAACATTTCTCTCACCGACACATCACACAGATGCTAGAAATTCCCTGAGTTAGTTAATTATTTTATCAAACTAGAACAAGTCCTGTACAGATAGTCTGTGCCAGGGTCCATTTCCTCACCATAGGTATGTGGTGCCATTTGCAGCACCCTGGAACATCTGAAACATGTGGCTGACAGGTATGACAAAGGATCTATGGGATATTCTTCTGCACCAGCAGTGAAGACCAGGAGGATACCTTGGCTTTACAAATCTCTAGATGTGTGTATGTAGGGAATTGACTTACACTGGGAGTGGTTCAAACCAAAATAAAGTCTTGTCCGTACTGATTGGAACGACTATCATGTCCTGTAGTTTTGTCTAAGGTACACGAGACCTCACTGGGAAGTATGACTGGGTGTCATGACTGGGTAGTGCTGGAAAGTATAAATCATGGGTTACCAAGATTCAGTGGATGAGCATTGGTAGGCCTTTGGTGACCCTATGACTTCTGTCCACATGGCCTTATATTAACATGGTTTGGCCTCATGTGCTTGCTCAAAAAGAGCAGTTAATTTTGTCATAAGAACATCTGCAGTGTACCTATTCAAGCACATTTCTTGCAGAAGCATGTGGGTGGGAATTGCTATTCTAGTCTCAGTTTATTCTAACAGGAATTATTTCATTTGAGCGAAATCATAATAAGCATATAAGCATAATAAGCATACATATCATTCTGCTTCCCCCCCATATTATCTAAAAAGGGACAATTTTCTAGATAAAGCAGTGTTATTCAGTGAGCAGTCAAGCCTTCAGCTTGCAGAAAGATAGTCCTAAGAAGCTTTTCTATTGTTTTTTATTTCTTTTATTCTATGAAGATAAAAAACAAACATCCTTAGACAGGAAGATAAAGCTACACCCTCACTGGTAAGCTAGCCCTGTGCCTCAGAGGTCAATATATTTCTTGGGCCAATGCAAACAACATGTGCTATTCTGCTTCCTGTGCTGTGGGGAGAAGGAAGGTTTCCTGTTGCAATGCTGTTTTCTTAAAGGCTCTTCACTGCAATACTACCCAGATGATTGTTTTTTTTTTAACATGGCCAAAAAAAAATCTGATTGATTAATCATAGAGGATAGTGACCCAGTTATCACTGAGAGTTGTATCTAATGCTGAAGCTCAGTAAAGATGTATCTGTGATTATTTTAATGCAGGAATTTCCTCTCAAAATTCTGAAGTTGGGGATTT